GTCACGTCTCCAGGCCTGTGCAGAGTTATGACTTGCTACCTACATTCCATGTTTAGCTTTGAGAGATCAGATGGTGCAAGCAATGTGAGCTAGCAGTGCCTGAGGACATGCTCGGGGCAACACGTCCTGTCCCTCTGCAGCTTTGGTTTTTTTTCTCTACTTCTGTCCCATCCCATCCCCTTAAGGTGATGCATTTTACAATAAATACCGATCTCTCTGGGAGGTGAGCTGCCCCTGTGGAAGCATATGTGCCATTCCCACTGTGCTGTACGTTAAATCCAAGGGCTTGAGGTTTGTAAATATTGTCTCTAAAGTAACTGGGGACTCCAGGTGAGCTGCTTGCCTTACTTGCTGGTGGCTCTGGAGCCGTGGTTGGTACATGTGGCGCACAGTGGCAGGCTGTTTCAGCACTGTTAGTGGTGTGATTTAATGAAGCATGAGTGATATTGGAGGAAGTAAATTTTGTCTTTGTGGATGGGGAAAGGGTCACTGGCAAAAGTTTACAAACAAATGAGTTGAAAAAATTAGGCTTAATTCACCCATGTGGAGGAAGGGAGGTGGATATTTTTGGGTTGTTTGTTTTGTGCTTAGCGCTGGGCAAAAGTTACACCCAGTCCTTGATGTAGGAAAAGTTGGATAGGTAAGCAGAAAAGTACGAACTCATTGCCTAAGACTGCTCTTGCTTTCTTACTCTCCTCATCCAGGGGTGCCATGGGAGAGGTGCAATAGAGACATTTTAATTATGGTAATTTACTGTCAACTTATTTTCACTGTGTTTAGTCGGAAAACAGAAGTTCAGAAGTTTATGGCAGAGATGTTGCGAGTTAGCTCTGAGTTGGAGAGAAGGAAGCAAGGGGGGAGCGGGAGGAGGGAGTCTGGAGATGGAGCCGGTTGTGGGTTCATTCCACTACATCTTTTCATCTTTCCCCGGTACTGCAGCACCACAGGAGTAGAGTTACCGACAACATTCTTGCTCAGGTCTCTCATCCCTCACTCAAATAGAGGGTGTAATTTGACTATGTCTCAGCTCCCATGTGTGAAGGCTGTTGATGAAACTAAATGTATGTGCATTTTTAAGTACAAACAAAAACCAAACCCAAACAAACGCAAATCTCAATTCAGATCTGTTCCATGATCCTGGATCACCATGTGGTTGTTCAAACTCTAGAACTGGCATGAGGCTGGAGGGAGAACACGTGGCCAGAGCTGTGAGGTAAAGTGAGGACTGGCAGTCTGTCCTTCTGAATGACAGCTGTGGCTTACATCAGGTTAAATCAGTCTGTATGCTTCAGGCTGAGGCAAAGCAGAATGGCTTAAAAGCAGGTTTTCACTTCTAGCCTTGAGTTTCCTGAAAGCCTGCATCAGTTTGTGGGAGTGCATATATTTCTGCATCCCAGCTGCCATGGAAAATGAGAGACATCTTACAGGACAGTTCTCACAGTCAGTATTTACTGAAGTCTTCCTGATTTGAATGGCTGTGTCCCCAGCTGTCACAGATAGATTGTGAATCTGGATTTTTACCTCCTGCTTCTCCATTCTATCAGCTGTTTCCGGCTGCACACAGGTTAACAGGGAGGCCTGCTGGGCTGCTTAATGGGTGGCCTGGCGCTGCCTTTGGGCTGATGCAGATGATTTCTATTGGCCAAGGTTATCTCCTCCTGACCTTGTAGCCAGAATTCAACCTCCCGTTGGCACAGTAATTGTGAAAAGGAGTGTTTCTGAAAGAATTCCTAAAGGCTGGAATATCCTTTCTGGTTTTGTGAAAACCGTGGGTTTTTTTCATCAGCGCTCTGAACGGAAAAGGAAAGTGCCCTAATGTTACGTTTGATATTTCAGAGAAGGTTGTGTTTAAGATTTTTTTCTTCTAAAATCCACGGTGGAGACTGTAAGTTTAGTATGGCAGGAGGGTGCTGTACTCGATCCACTTCTGCTACTGTACCTTCTTGGTTGCTTGCTCAGTGCACACTGGTAGGTTGCTGAACAGGATACATGGCATCTGATTTCTTCCTAGCTGTAGCCTTTTGTACCGAAATGTCTTTTGCCTTGGTTGCAGTTGGTTCAGTTTACAGGACTAAATGTGTTTGCATACTTTTGGGATGAACAGGGACTTCTGTTACCTGTGTAATGGAATGAGGCAGAGGGATTAGTGGGGAAGATGGGGAGAGAGGGAGGAGTTGAATGGGGTTTCTTTTCTTTTCTGGAGTCATGAAGCTCCTCCCATAGCAGAGAGGGAGCATAGTACATGGAACCTGAAGACCTTTAAAGTACATGCTGAAATGGATGCTGGGAAGATACAGTACAGTGCTTGGGCACAACTCCAAGGCTCCCAAGGCAAGTAATATTTAAACAAGCTGAACAGCCCCTTTCGGCAAGCAGCAGGAAATCCAGCACTGAGCTTTGTGTTGTTGCATGGTCAGCAGAAGATAAAAGCCCAGGCTATGCAGCTGGGGTTCCCTCCTATCACTGGATGGCAAACTGTTAAAAAAAGATAAAAGAACAGAAAAGGACAGGGGGTCGTCTTATTGAAAAGCATTCCTTCATATTTTAAGCCGTCAAAGTACTTTGAAATACATTGTGCCTGATGTAAGTCAGGAGCAGCACCATCGGGGTGTGTTGAAGCTTTTACATCAGTTGGCAAGCAAAAGATGAATTTGTCCCTCTGCTTCATCAGAGATAAAGATTTAACATGGGCATGACTGTGATACGCATAGGTGCCTCACCAAAAGCCCCACAGCAGGCAGGAGCTTCCCAGAACAATTTTTTTTTTTAGGAGTAAGGCGTGTAACGGGTCTGCTGCTGACTGGGGGGTCTCATTCTAAAATTCAATCAGCATTTAGCCATGTACAGCCTTTCCTGGTCCCACTTTCTGCAGCTCATCCTTGGTTAGGGACTGTTTTAACAATAAGGAAGAGAATTTAAATGAATGAGATTGCTAGTTAAAGTCTTCTAATCAGTATTTACTGTGTTCCTCTCCTCCATCCCTCCTCCTTTTTTTCTGCATCACAGCACTAGTGTCTTGGGAAAGAAAATGCTTCAGAGCATTTGTTACCAATTTAGCAGCAAGTACGTGCTCAAATTTGGGATTTCTGAGATCTGTGTGTGCCATATGTAGGCAAAATGTAGTACTTGCAAGTTCCAGTAGAAGGGAATAAACACAAATTTGCTGTTCTGCAGATAGTGTTTCTTTAATCTAATGAGACTTACATTTATGCAGCCTTATTGTTTTGGTAAGACGGTTAACCGTCCTCCCTAGGGTGCCTAATTGCTTATCATGAACTAATCAGTCCCCTGGGTATATGAAGGGATGAAACACTGCCAAGATAGAGTCTGTGACTTCCCCCAGAGGTGTGATAACCCTCCCAATTACCCCACCCTTCAGGGAGCTTGCTTACTGCTCTTTTAAAGACCTTGTGACTTCAGAAATTGTCCATGTTTGGAGATTTAAGGAAGTTTAAAGGGGTGTATTTATTGAGAATCTTTTGAACCTGTAAGCTCTCACATTTTTTATGTAAAAACTGTATTGAATATTGTTTCAATCTTGAAACAATCTATGAAAATGCTGAACATGTTTCTGTTTATGAAAGTGCCTACCTTCATAGCCCCCGAGGTATGCCAGACCCTAACAGATAAGGAAAGGGCCAGGTTCTGTCTTCAGCTGTTAGTAGATAGGGATGGCAAAATCTTCTAGCTTCAGAAACCCCACTTGAAGTTCAAATGAAGAAATGAGTGAAACAAATCACTCAAACAAATCACTGGTGGTGACTCTCTTCTTATTTTTGGTAGAATAATAGTTGCATGTTACTGTGTATGAAATGACTGGTTAGATTAAGAAAAGCTTTTTACCTTACAGTAAAAAATAATTCACTTAACTAGTGGTTTTGCTTGTATTCTCCTTTCAGTTTCCTGTTTTAACTCATTCACAAGATATGCTTGTCTGCTGCACAGGTTGAGATAGCTACTGATTGCCCGAATTCTTCTCTTGTATCTTTTTATATTGAATGCTTGAGTTCCATGAGGCATATAAAGCATTCTACAAAACCATAGTGTTTGAACTGGAAGTGAGAAACAGCTTCTGCTATTTAGCATCTGAGTGAAAATACAAGTTCTCATGTTTCTTTGTCTTTTGTTCTTGTTCTGAATGGACACAAATTTTGTGTGAAATTTGGAGGATTGAATCTGTTAGTTGGGTACAAATAACAGTTTGTTCTTGAAACAGTTGTAACATAATCAATGAATAATATCAGATTTTTTTTTTCTTTTGTGGTTCTTTTAATATACTTAAGGTTTTCTTCACTTTTGGTTGTAAAGTATATTCTACATGACCTTAGCAAGATTGATGTAAATAAAAATATTATTACAGTGTGTACTGGCTTAAAACTTTAAAGCAAGGTGATTTCACACTTAGAATGAAAAGAAGGTGGCTGTGTGGGCATGTATGTTTATATGCCCAAGAAAATGTAAATGTGGAAGCATCACTCCTCAAAAGAAGTGTGACTTCCAGTGTCATAGGTCTGATTATGATATTACAATGTTGCTTTGCTATGTGTGCATATATGAAAGTGATTAGTCAAGTTTCCACTGGCAAACTCTTGCTGTCCTCCTGCAGCAACTGGGGTGGATGCACAGGCCACTTGATCACTTTTTGTTGCTGTTATTGTTTATTTTTCTCTGTTTGGAAGTACTACTTTACCCAGAATTGGGTTGAGCCTAAACACAGTTCATAAGAGTTTGATTCAGGCTAATGTTTTTGTTAAATATATATCAATGGAGTCAGCAGAAGGAAATTAATTTCCCTTTTCATATGTGAATTGTTTCAAGAATTGTTTGCATCATCTGTTTCATGGAAATGTGTGAGGCACTAGCAGTAGAAATGGTTTTTTGGAAGGAGAGGGTGGTTTTGGACTAGCAGCAGACGTTTTTGGCTGGAGGAATAGCAACTTGAAACTTCACTTACTGAAGAAACCTGTTCACAATTTTGTCTGTTTTTTTTTTTTCCCCAGCGTTCCTGAAATAAACTTCCTGCAATTCTTTGCAGTGTGCAGGTGTCCAGACTCCCCTTTACTCATGGTCGCCTGTGAAACCCGTCAGGCAACTGAAGGCTGTACCTAAAATTCTGCTGGCAGTGCAGCACACTGCAGTGGCCTTGATATAGTTACGGTGGACACCTTGTGCAGCCACAGCTGTAGCATCCCCTCGTAGTCCGAACAACTGAGTATTGCGGTCCAGGAGTCTACACGTGTGGAGGACTGCCTGGAATAGAAAAAGGAAAGCTGCAGAGATTGTAAGCTGCTGCTTGATCCGTGTGGCTGTTGTGCCGAGGAGCATCAAAACTTTGCTGGATGGATCCGACAGCTCGTTGCAAAGTAGAGGGTCAGTCTTGCTGGTTATTTGCAGTTATTAACCTTAGTGGATTTTAATTTTTTTTTGTTTCTTTTGCTTTCATATTTTTCTCTGTATACCTAAGAGGATTGTGGCCTTGCAACCAGAACGCTCATGTTCAGGAAACTTAAAGCTGTTCCTACTGAAGGGCTTTGAAGATCAGCAGGCATTTCCTCCAGCGTTTACAGCATTGTTGGAGGAAACATTCCCTGCAGAAGTCTTCAGGTCTATCCGCCCGACTTTGGTCATTTCTTACCTCACCAGCACATGGATTATGCTGTTTGCAGACTGTCTAAGCTGCACGATGACCTCCATGGATTCCTCATGAGCTTTTACAAGGCCAGGCCTGTGTACTTTGTAAAATCCTTTAGAAATGCCTGCTAGGCTTTTAAAGTCCCAGAGCATAGACTATACTACAAGGAACTCTGAAGGTCAGCAGCTGGATATGGTTGTGGATTAAGAGTGATTTTTTTTTGTGTGTGTTTGTGTATGTATGCAGTTCTTGTTTTAAAAATACATATTTTTTCAAGTCAGATAGAGATATATTGTTCCTGAGAAGGCTTCTTGTACTTTCTGGTAAAGCTGAGGGACTTCTGAATTCCGTAAATTGATGAACAAGATCCCTATGCACTGTTGCAGTTTATGAAAATGAACAGATGCTGTTCCATTTTGTCAGTGTGCTGGAAGCACCTCCCACAGGTTACTTGCACTGCGTGTACTTCAAAATAGAAAGAAAACTCAAACTGAAGAGTACCACTGGCAAATAGCTCTGCTGTTTAAAATTTTGCAAGTGGCTTTCCTATGTGGATCTCAGCTTGGAGAGGCTTGCCAGCTGTATCTATTGCTGTAATTAATTCACCTAACTAAACCCAGAAAGAGGCTTTGTATTTCAGTATTTAGAGCTCTACAAACAAGCCCAAAGGCTACTGACCAGCTGGTCTGAGCCGGTGGTTGTGCTCACAAAACTTGTGCCACCTTGTTCATAGGTGGTGGGAGAGAGCTATTTTTCTGAATGCTGGATTTCTCGTTCACCTGGATGAAGCAGTAAACCTCAGTCTGAGAGATCTTTGGTACTTTGACATCTGTGGCAAATACATATCTAGAATAAGCACAGTAAAATACAGTTAGTTTGTACCTTTTAACTCTGGCTCACAATACCAGGAGAATGTCAGCTGATGGTTGTCTATGCTTAATATCACATGGAGATTATGGAGTTGGTTTATATCTGTTCCTAGTCCTTAGCATACTGTAGGAGTTGGTTGACTTGAGATCTGCTTGTACCTCTTGTGGTGGGGGGCAGATTTTGGCTTTGGCTTGTGGGCCTGCAGAGTCCGCTTGGTGTGGAGATACAAGCTCAGGAGTGCTACCAGTTATCTTGCTCATGAAAAGGCTGTGTAGGCCCTTGGGATAGTGCAGTTGGAGGCTGACATTACAAGTGCCTTCTAGGGTGGATGGGAGAGGGAGGGCTGTGCAGCACACTTCTGAGTCTCTTTGCTCCAGCATATCTCTCTCTCTCCTCCCTGTGGTCTGTGCTTTCCCCTCCGAAAATCTCAAGCTACAACTCCCTAATTTAAAAATCTGTTTCAGGTGGAAGGCATAGGGATATGATTTGTGTTCCTGAACATTTTAAATTGTCTTGGTTATAGATTGTTGTTGTTGTTGTTGTTTGGGAGGATGTGACAGGGGGAATAATTTCTGTGCTGACCAGAAACAGAATACGTGAAGATATGATGTTAACAAGGTGGGGGAGAAAAGGAGGTGTTTGTTTAGAAAAAGCCTAGTCACTAAAGCCTGTGGGGCAGAGGAACCCTGCTGATAACACAGATGAAACAGTCTGCCTCTTTCCTAACTTTAGAGGAGTGGAGCTTTGTAATAAATGGCTGCTATGTGGCAGCTGTCTCCCAGCTTCGTGAGCCTGGCAGTAGTTAATCCTGTCAGCAAGTCATGCTCCCTGGAAAAGAGCAGTGAGAGGAGCTTCAAACTCTTGAATCATTCTATTTGCAAAATATTTGCATGTTGAATGTCTCTCTGCTTAAAACAAGTTTGGTAATTCGATGTAGGTTTCCATCTTTAAGTAACATTAAAGTGCAGCTGTGTTGGCTTTTAAATAAAATGTTAGAAACGTGCTGAGATACTACAATTCTTTTCTCTCTTTAAAAAAGTCATTTTAGTTTTGGAAGGTGTATGTTCCAGAGTACAAAATGTACTTTGTAGAGAAGGGACACTGTGTTGCTATCCCTGTATCTTAAAAAATTACAGGTTGAACATTTGAGATCATGGTTATCCTTAAAAGCTTGAGGCTTTAAAATTAATCTGTTCACTTCAGTTTGCTTTTTGTATTTTGCTAAGCATGTAATGTGTCTGTTCTTCTTCCAAAAGTCAAAAAACTATAATTTTGACTTAAAAAATTGAGATTTTGTTTGGTAATGTAGCACCATCAGATTTTACAGGCTCATGATAAAATCTTGATGGTTGACAACACTACCACTAGGAAATGGGTTAAAATCCCTGTAATTTCTACTTTTCTTATTTTGCTGTGTTATCTTGTGAAGCATAAAATGTTTTGGCAAACTACCTGGTACAGTGCTCCAAGCAGAGACTGTGTTGGCATCTCCTGCAAAGCCAGTGTGGTTGGGCTGCAGAGGATGAGTTGGGAGCTCTGCAATAAGCAAACTGATGCTCTCCCCCTTGGGCTTGCCTGTGTTTGCTAGCATATGGATGCAGTTAGAGTGGTGAAACACCATGTGGAACATAGCTACTCCAAGAGGAGTTTTTTCATGGTCTAGCTTATCCTATTTTCAGAATGATTTTTGTAAAATTGCCTGTGCATTTAGTTCCTCTGTGAAACTCTTCCTCAAACACTCATCTTGGAGGAAGAGAATTGCAACCAGAGCACCGCACAAGAAGCAGGGCACTAGCACAGGAGATTTTCTGTATCTTCCTCAGTGTGATTCATCCTGCCTCTGTAATCCCTGCTGAACCCGTCGTGCACACACACACACAGCTCTGACTACATGTGAAGAGCAAGTGTGAGGGGATGAAATGTTTTCTTGTTTCTCCCTCCAGAGTTTTGCTTTAAACCTTCACCTCGAGTGGTGGCTCCGAAGCTGCCCCTGGCTGAGCTGCTGGCCATCAGGGTGAGGGACAGAGATGGGGACAGGGACAGGCCCTCCTTCCCTCCCTCCCTCCCCGCCTCCCTCCCCAACAGCTGCAGGCACCAATTGCCAGGGAGCAGCCCGGCCACATGGTTTCATGGATTTCTTCCTCTTGTTACTAATGTGCCTCCTTGTTTCCGTGATGCTGTGAAGAGGAACAACCAGACGGATTGTCTTCTCTTGGGGTGGGTGCCCAGGCATCTGCACAGCCAGTTGGTATGGCACAGGAGCCCCTGTTTTTTCAGTGACACCACGGGCTATTGATGGCAGGCTGGGGCTGTGCTGCTGCTGCTGCTGCACAGATGCTTGCTCTTGGCCCACCTTAAAAGGACAAGATATCCCGTGGTTTAGACTGGCCATATATTGTCGGGGATGTCAGCATCTCCGTCACAGCTACCCAGCTGAGCCCGGCATGCCCCCTCCACCCTGCGTGCCTGCAGCGTCTCCTCAGTCAGAGCTGAGGGGTGCTGTAACTCAGAGCATTTGAAGGGGAGGTCTCTTTTCTTCTCTGTTACTCAGAAATGTTTTCCATCTGGCTCTCCCTACTGCGATGCATCTAGCTCACTCACTGGGCTCTCGGACAAGTATCTTAATTTCCTCAGCACAGTACTTGTTTAGGCACACAGGCGATGGGACCTTAACCTATAGCTCTCCCCACATTCCCCCCAGGGTTTTAAGTCAAGTGGGTTTGTCAGGGCAATGTGAAAATGAAAAAAAAAATGCAAGCAACAAAAACACAAAGCTACGTTTTGATTGTTTCCTCATTTTGCAATCCTTCATCTCCTCTTGCTTGTCTGACACGGCAGCAGCAGCAGGATATGAGGTTTTGACCCCAGGGTTGTGCTTCCCCAGGATTGCTGGGGCTCCCCTCAGACAGATGCATCTCCCTTTCCTCAGCCTGTTGCACATGGAGACAAGCACGGTGGGGTTGCCCACTGGTCCTTACGGCAGCTTCCCCCTGCCCTTCTGCTCTCTTGCCTCTTCCTTGGCTCCTTAGGGGCTGTGGGCAGTGGTTTTTGCCAGCAGTGTGATGCCACTTGCTTGACCTGTCCTGTCTTTGCAAGATACTTCCACCCCACCTTTAGGGCCCACTCCCTTCAGTCTCTGACTCTGCTCTGGACTCCCACCCTCTCCCACAGCGTGTTCCAAGGCTGTCCCCTTGCCCTCTGGGATGTAAGCCAGCCCTGGCCCGAGTGAGAGATGCAGCAACTGGACTAGGGAAGACTGATAGTGTGGGGAGAGACCCTGGGCCATGTCCCAAGGAGTGCTGCCCCACTGCAGCCAGTGCCAGCCCAGAGGAGACATGAAGGGACTTTGTCGGGTTGCCACTTCATCTAAGGCAAATAAACTGGAGTTAAAGCCAAGAAACACATCGACTTCCTGGAACTCTGTGAGCCATCCGCACAGCTGTCCCCACTCCCTGAACACATGCAAAGCAGAGCTTATAAGGACAGACAGTATTGCTTTTGTGTCCTTCCTCAGCCAGTGGGGAGGGCGCAGGGGAGGGGATGTGCTGGGTAAAGCCCAAGGCCTGTCTTGTTCCATATTCCCCCTGTGTTGCCGTGATTCCCAGTGACTGGGGGAAGCCAGATTCCCTTCCCACTGGCCTCCTCACAGCTGTGCAGGCAGGCAAGGATGAGGATGGAGGGGTGTTTGCAGTTGTCAACATGGGAAGGAATGAACGGATGTCTGCTTAGAGCCACTTGTTTTACTTTCCTATTGCCATGATTTTATTTTGTTGCCTAAATGTGGTGTTCATGGTCCCAGGTTTGTTAAGCTGTCTTCAAATCTCAAATTCCTTTTTGCTTGAGCAAGCTCTTGAAGATAACTGCAGTT